TCCTCCAGCTCTCTGAAGGAGATTCACACTCAGCTGCTGGCAGATTTTCAGGACAAGAGTGAAGCCGTCAAGCTCACCACTAAATGCATCATGCGTCCTCTCAACACCTCAAGCTCCCAACTCCCTGCCGGTCAATACAAGCTCAACTATGTGAGCTATGACCAGTGGCTGTCCCACTGCGAGGACCTGAGGCTCTCGGCCGATAACCTGATTAAGGACTCATCTTCCTTCAGGCGAAACCTGCGTCTGACCCTGGTCAATGTAAGATTTTTTTCATCTGATTTTATATCACATATTTAGGTTTAAGTCATTAATAAGTGGAGGACCATTTAGCTTTTTTACCATTTTCAACCCTCATTTGTCTAGTTTTTGCCATCATGGACATACAGTCATGTCGACGTCTGTCCATTCATCACTATGCTTGATTGTTTGCAAAAACTTTGCCGATATGTGTGACTATTATAGTTTAAAAATGCCCTGGAACGCCAGCGCCGCAGCTCAGATGATGCCCTGAGAAAAAAGATCTACGAGCTGAGCAGGGTCCAGGATACACTGATCTGGGAGAGGCAGCGGGTCAGTCTTACTCAGTCTACCATCCACAGACCAAGTGTGCTTGACTTTTTGTGATGTGCACTTATTTTTCTGTGGCTCTATATAATCTCCAGTTAAGGGATGAAATGTCTGATCGGACAAAGGACGTACAGAAAGTGGTGGGTCGGATCAGGAAGTGTGATTCCCAGCTGCACCAGGCCACCCAACGCCTGGACCTCCTCCACCAGAGACCCAGACGTGAGCTCTGCCTGGACCTGGTGAGTGTCTCGCTAACCAGTTACAGTTCAATACAGTTTAAACTCTCAGTTGTTACCTCCTGTGGATTTAGGATGGCTTTAACCTTTTTTCTGTTCCTCCTCCTTCAGCCCCTCTTCAGCCTCACACTGGAGAAACGTGACCTGGCAAACATGGCGGCTGGACTTCGCTCAATACTGAAGCGCTCTCAGTAAGTCAATTCTACCTCTCCAATGAGACCAAACTGTGTCACTTCATGTCCTTCTTTTTTTAATATTTTGATGGTAATGGTAAACCTTATTTGTAGGCAGGACCTGGAGCTCACACACAGGCGCCTGATGATTCTGGGGGACCAAATTGCCAAAAATGCTCGTACCCTGGAGGAGGAGCAGAAGTGCCAGAACCTGCATCAGAGTTTCCTCCCTGTGCTCGACACATCTGTGGTCTTTGCCGCTCCAGCACTTACTCCTACTTGCAGGAGAGCTTGATAGAGTGCATTCCTGCATCCCTGTGGTCTTTTTTATGTGGTGTTGCAAAATGTAATAAAATACCTCTCAGCAAAATGACATTGGCTCGTCTAGAATCAGTATGTGCCTCTCCTACCTTGAGGCCGCTATGATTCCAGGTGGTATTGTGGTTTAGGAGCATATTCCTAAACAAGAAGACCGTGTTGGGTTTGCAGCCGGAAACAAAATAATGTAAACATTTAGGTCGATGCAAGAAAGATGCTCATGGTTATTTTTTTTAGGCCTTTCTAAATCACAGTGATTCCAGTAGTACTTTCAGGAAATGGCTCCAATTAAAAAGTGATTCAGTATTTCCCCACCACCACCTCTTCATTCCTGGGATTGGCTGTGTAAAATGCTTTGAATATGCATTTATGCTGGGAAATCAAAATCTACAGACGGTGAAACTGAAGTGTATCCTGAAATGATAAAATATTCCAAATGCTCGTGGTGGAGAATGTTTGGCTGAGTGGTGAGAGGTCCTCGGACAATAGGTATTTCTGGAGGATACCAGTCAGTACTAAAGTGTATCAGCAGTAACAGAAGTGTGAAGACGGTGTTTTGTAGTCTTGTTCCTGGGTGTCACGTCTTTAACCGGGTCAGATTTATTGTAGCAACGGCCACTTAGCAACGCACCGGGTCCATGGAGAGTGTCTGTCTCTCCCTGTGTGTGTGTGTGTGTGTGTGTGTGTGTGAAGGAATGCGAGGCTACACGGGTCAATACACGGAGACAAAACGCACCGAGCTGTAATTAAAACTGACATTTATGTCTTTTATGGACATCGTCGCTTTGAGGTGAATATGGGATGCTGCAGCTCCTCCAACACCGCGGTCCGACCGTTGAGACCGGAAGAGAAAGGAGACGAGGTAGGCTCCATCTCACTGCCCACCGCTTTAAGTTAATTTCGTTAAAACTGTGGCGAGTTACTTTTCAAAGTGCTGCATCATCAACTGTGTCTGAGAAACATATTACAGTCGGATACAGTTAGCACTTGATGTTGACGTGAAGGGCCGTTATAGGTGTTACGCCGAAATCTGTGTGTCAGTCAATTGTGTGACCCCTAGAGGACTAAATATTGTCAAGTGTTAAAAACAATGGCGGACGAATCCGGTCCTTTCATGGGTAGCTACTTTACCAAAGTGAAAGTAGCAAATCACAGAGTACAAAAATTAACTTTATTATAAGTAAAACTCCTGCATATTATGAGCAAAATGTACTTAAAGTATCACAAGTAAAAGTGCTCATTGTGCAGACACTATGAAATCCAGTCCCTTAATTGTTGTACCTTATAATCATATATTATATAATTACATTTTTTTAGAGAATAATTGATTTATTGATTCATGTTAAGCATTATATTTGTAATGCATACGTTTGAAGGTATACCCTTTAAAACCTCTTAAACCGTTCATCTATTAAAAAACAGTATACCGTCATATATGTTTGTTATTAATTATCTATGTATTTCTGTTGCACCTCTGAATTTGCACCTTGCTTGACATGTTTATGTACATTCAAAATGCCACTTCAGTAAAAGTACAGAAATATTAAATGCAAAATGGTCCAGATATTTTAGACTTTCTTCTACTGTTGGGTAGTTCAATCTGTATCAATTGCATCATATAAGATACGGTAAAATAATACACTATCACTGTATCTAGTTTCAAACTCTGAGATGATGTGGTATGTTGGTGCTACCTGCTGTGTATCATTATTGTTCCCGAGCTACTGTATTCATGACAATGCGTAAACATACAGATGCCCCCATAACAACATCATGTCTGTGATATCATTCAGAATGGGGCCGTGGGATTTTTCTGCATTTCATACCGTGTCTGTGTGCTGTCAGGATGAAGCAGGAAGTAAAGTGGATGTTCGAGGAGACTCGGCCGTGTCAAAGGGCACCACAGACAGCGGCGTGGTGATGGACAACAGAGACATCCCTGTGCTGCCTGGAGCGGTGCCCACAAAACTCCCTCCTCTAACATCTGAGTGTGTGAGAGAAAGCGATGCGGACAGAATTACACAAGATGGTGAGTGAGCTGAACAAAACGCACAGTGTCCCGCTGAAAAGAAGTTCCAAGAGCAAAAACCTTAAGTGTTTTTTTATTTTGGTTCTGTCAGGAATGCTACAGCAGGCGAGCACACTGCAGGAGCGACCAAGGTCCAGTGAGATCCTGGAGGAGCTGCTGAACCAAGGCATCATACCAGTGGGACAAACCAGAGAGAGGAGCAGCATGGCTGGAGAGGCCGATGGCATCATGGTGAGTACCTGGTGCACACTGGTCATCCTTCTACAGCTGAATCGAACTCAACAATATCAATACGGAGATGTTATACAACGTTTTGTACATGGTCTTAAAAGCTGCATTACGTTTCTGTGAGCAGATCTAACTGTTCTATCTGAGCATAAAGAAAAAAGGATGCCTCTACTTTAGTGTTAGTTTTGTGTGTAAATATATTTCAAAAGCACCCACAGTCATCTGCCATAAAACTATTGATATCTAGGTTATTCTTTCAAGAATATTGTGATATTCAATTTTGTCGCAATTGTCTCAGTTAACACAAAGTTGTTTCAAGTTGTTCCTGATCTGATGTAACCACCCAGTCTTACTATACATTAAGAAATATAAAGCTCATTGTCTACTAAGATGTATGAATGACAAATAGTTGGTTCTCAAACAACAACAAACTATGAAAGATAATCAATGGTGGGTTAAAGGAGTGGCTAGTGGGGATTTTGGTACAGCCTGATCACCCTACAGACCTTTCTCACAACGGACAGTTTGACATTTCATAGTAAGAAAAACACAGGTGAAACAAATGTAGCGATGTTAACGATGGCTCAGTTCAATCAAGTGTCCCGGTTGAGAGTTTAAATGTCCCAACAGGCCATTCCAGTAAGCCAGCATGCACAAAATCCGGGCCCTGTACGAGCACATCTTGCAGCTGATATATAACGATATTAACTACACCTGTGCCTATCCTGCTAAGACATGCCAACATGTCCACAACACTTATTGCTGCCCTGGAAGAATACGCTCCTAAAAATATATTAGAAAGTTTACAACAAAGTAGTTAAGTGGATTTTCATTCAAGATGTTGATTATTTGAGTTGCCAACTTATCTTTCACACTGGTAGGTGAGGTCAGTCAGGTTAAGTGGAAGTGCATTCATTCATCTGTAATATTAAGAGTGTTTGTTCTCTGTCTCCCCCTGCTCTGTGTGTGTGTGTGTGTGTGTGTGTATATGTGTGTGTGTGTGTGTGTGTGTCAGCTGGATGACAGGGAGGTGGTCAGGCGAAAGCCGCCCGCCAGACTGGAGTCCCTGACGGTCAAGAAGGTGCAAAGTGTCCCCAGCGTAGAAGACATTGAGGAGAAGATACGACTTGCTGAGGAGAGACCCAAGGTACAGTTTGTGTGTGTCATCACGTACCTGTGCTCGTTGTCTCACAGTTTATCTCTTTGTTTTGTCTCCCCCACACTAATTTGCTCCCTCCATTGTCTCCCAGTTCAGGGAAGATGAGCTCAAGATGCATTTGAGGATCAAGTCGGCCCATGTTTGGGGCCCCGCTCCCACCTCCAACACCGAGGAGGACCAGGACACAGGCGTCACTCCTGTGGAGCCGCTACAGTTACCTCCCACCCCCAACCCCCTCGATCCACAGCCCCATAGCCAGATAACACGCGAGGAGGCCGAGGACGGAGAGTGGGGGAGAGAGGCTGTCAGAGACGGCAGAGAGGGAATGGGTAAAACAGACAAGAGAAAAGGGAGGAGAGCGAAGGGAGGAGAAAGTGCAGAGAGGGGTAGTGAGGACGGTGACGGGAAAGGTGAGGAGACCCAGGTGGAGGAGCTCAAGGAAGATAATCTCCTCACAGCCTCTGAGGAGCTGGAGAGCGATTCTAGCTTTCAACATGCAGAGGACAAAGAGGAAATGTTTTAATTCATTACAAAAATGAGCCATGAATCAGCACTAAGAGAGATAAAAGAGAGAGGAGAGGGAGCCAATAATGATTCCTTTTGCACAGACGAAAGGTTGAAACTTATCAAAAGAAAGATGTATACAGTATATCGTATTCGAAGAAATGAACTTGAATTAAGATGTGATTGGCCCCATGGATGAAACTAGACTAACGTGGATGTGAATTGTTTGTGTTTTCATGAAAAAGCACAACCTCTACTGCAGGGAAGTGCAATGTAGCTCAGAAATAACCACAAAGGAATATGAGGGTTTTCTTTCCAAAGTGATATAATTTACCTCAGGGAAGGCTTTAATAAATATGAAAAAAGACTTCTTGCCAACGTACAAAATAAATGAGATTTTAGTTTTACATTTAATTGTAAAATGTGATACCGTTGACTCTCTTTTTGCATGTGAAGGTTGTACCTGTTCTGTTGGACATAAGATGGCGCTGTTTCAGTGGGTTAGAGTTGTATCACAGCTCCCTGTAGTCATGCACCTCATCTACAAAATGAATTATCAGTCGGAGGTTTTGGCAACATGTGGCGTAAAGATGTGTAAAGTGAAGTTGTTATTGATCAATAAAGTTTTATGTATTCAATGTTTATGAATGTGTGTGTCTAAAACTTAATGAAAGTAGCGCATTAATCATTTTAACTTTTATATACATTTTTCAGAGAGGTTGAGGGGTGTTGAGCAGGCCTTGGTGTGACAGCTGTGGGTATTCAGCTATTCCAGTGACCTCTGACCTTTGCAGCCAAATGGATAACAAGCACAAAGTTACAGTTTCTGCTCTCCAGCTCTACAGCCTTTGTCTTGCTTTAAAAAAAAATGGGGGACAGCTATAAGATTATAAAATAATGTTTTGGGGGATTATTGCGGACACATAATTGCTGCACATGTGACACGGAGTGTTTCTGAAGATTATTGGAATTTAAGTATCATTAAAGCTTTCAATGGGCCCACAGCCTGTTATTGTAGCATTCTGACTCGTCAGCAAGCTGCACATGAACAGAAAACAACAATTGGACGCAACCTGACCGGATCCCCATTGTTGAGCCTGGGAAACTCGATACTGGTCCCCTTTTTTTCAGGACTCCACTCGGACTTTAAAGCGCGTGCGGCCGCATGAATAAAATAGTGAGAGAACAGAGACACCGCAGAAAGACGCTCTATCGGGTTGCATTTCTTTGTGGTGTGGAGTCCTGCGGCGGCGATTCACCTTCAGAAAGATGTTATGCTTGTTTCTTTAACAATACAGATTTTGGTTGAGGTTTCCATTATCAGCCCACATGGAGATAATTAATCAGCCAAACATTTCTGAGCAGACAATGTCAAAACACATATAGTCTATACAGGTGATTGCTCGTCAGTGTCCACACGTGGGCTTGAGTCACGTGACCTTTTATATCGGCAATACAAGATTTAACAATAAACCTCTTTTTTTCCCAAAGCAAATATGATGCGCAAAATGTGTCAACTCACCGCGTTACATGGTTACATCGGATATATGTTGGCCAAACAGCGCGCTCACAGAAGCGAAGCTGCCATGAATGATTAACAGCAGTGTCCTCTCACATTACTGGGTGAGTTATCCGATGATCCATCCAGCAGCGAACCAGAGGAGGCCGAGCTTCACAACCTATTTGAATCATTGATGTTCAGAGACTCTTGATTGAATTGATATCTGACTTGATTCTCTCCCAGTACAATGACATGTCTTTCTCTTTTATGGTGCTTGAGATTTAATTATTAAAATGTGATCAGCATCTTTTAAAGATAGCAAGGGTCTATTCGGCAGATGTTTTTCTTCTCAAGCACCATAAAAGAGAAAACATGTCAACCCAATTTATTCAAATATAGCGTCAAATCATAACAGAAGTTATCTGGAGACACTTTTAACTGTAAGATGTTTTAGGACAACATGTTGTAGGTTCATTAGGTCGATTACATTACGACCTCATAGTGAAGTAGCCATTAAAAACAGAAAATGTTTGTATGAAAACCCCTAAGTTTCAGCGCACGTGGCTGTCTGCGTGGCCTCCACTATTTTGTTTAATTTCCCCATATGCATTTCCTGAAAGTCCCTGCTCCTCTCTATGTCCCCAACATATCATCAGTGTAATACGGGGTTTTTTTTTGGCCCCTGGTGGACGTGATTCAAGTGGAGGATCTTTTTTTTGTGAGGGAGCTCCAGTGTTTCACGCTGCAGGTTTCCCAGCCAGCTGTTTGTGCGCGCTGGTGGGCGGCGCAGTGATGGACTGAAAGTTGGGTGGAGTTAGAAGCAGCGCATTTAGGAATGGGTCCCAAACATATTTAGTTAGACAGCAGAGTTACCAAGAAGAGCTGGAAACACCTGATGGTCTCTGTGGGACAATCCGCTCCATATAACTCTCCTCTTAACTGTCGGAAGATACATCTACCTCCAGACTTCATTTTTGTCGAGTTTTTGTTGTGTTTTCTCTTCTGAAAAGCTTACAGAGCCGGCTGGTCTCTCTTTCTCTCTCTCTCTTCTTCCAAAGAATTACTGATAAGGAGACATTGCACTATTCTTTTTAAAATTGTTCCTATTTATTGTATTTTGCACTAACGATGCACACCACGCAGAAGGACACGACCTATACGAAGATTTTTGTCGGGGGTCTTCCCTACCACACCACGGATTCAAGTCTCAGGAAATATTTTGAGGTGTTTGGTGAGATTGAAGAAGCGGTGGTCATTACCGACAGACAGACCGGCAAGTCTAGGGGTTATGGATTCGTAAGTATTGCCACAACCGCAAAAAATAACCACAACATGCTATCAGTTTTAAACAGCTTTGAAAACTAACTTTTACGCATGTGGGAAAAACCTGCCATGACGCGTCTCTCTTAAAGTGCGCAGCTGTTGTTTTATGTCACAACATCATGACTAACATTAATTTAACTGCAGTCATGGGGTGTTGGTGTTTTGATAATAAGTCCCTGCTTAAATTCGTCATTGGCTTCTGTTGCAATCTTGCACCCACCGACTTGTTGCGCTTTGGTATATGCGCCTTCCCTGGCACGTTTGAAAGTGAGCTGCTCTCAAACTGACAGCTCTGGTGGGCTGAGAAAAACCTCACGGTGATGTCTTGATATTACAGAGTGGGATTCTGACACTGTCACATCTAAAAGGAAAGTATTTGACACCACTTGTCTTAGGACCTGACAGACAAAAACGCATTTCAGACATAAAGCAACCAGCAGTGCAATGCTACTCAGCAGTATTGGTTCAAAACACGTGTTTTTTAGTGAATTCATGTAGACCAGCTGCTTATATACATGTAACAGGGCTGTCTAAAGAGGGATCTAGACACCAAACTATATTTGGCATTTTCAGAGACCATTTAATATATGTTTGAAGTAGCTTTGGCACATATTACCAGTAGAGGTAAAGTTGCACAGTCACCCTTGATATGCACAAATATCCATCTATGTAGAAACTCACATTTCTCTGTAAATACTGATATGTATTTACTCCAACGTTTACTTAAATCCTCTCTTTAGTGTTGTATAGTATCACCATATTTATGCATTATTCGGCCCCCTTTTCTGTATTTTCTCATGGGAAATGCTTTCGTCCAGGTCAGTGAGATACACCTCAATTGTTAAAAGAGTGTCAAAAAAAAGAAAGATGTCGGCTATAGTGAAGCACTGAGAGGAGCAATAAAGTCTGTAATGGGAGTGATAAGGGAGCCATGTTCAGTCAGTCCTCACAGCCTGGCTCCCAATCACTGATGATAGTTTCAACACATGAGAGTGATGGATATGTGTGTGTGTGTTGCCAAACACTTGTTGCTGTTAATGATGGCCTCATGGGCAGAGATACACTCAGACGACTAACATGCATACACACACCTTGTCTTAACTATGTGCTCTAAAGCCAACCAGCAGGAAATGGAAACAACTGACACACCAATTTCACTTATCCACATTGTTCTCATGCTTTTACTCCTCTGGCAGGTGACGATGTCGGACCGCTCGGCTGCAGACCGGGCCTGTAAGGACCCCAACCCAATCATTGACGGCAGGAAGGCCAACGTCAACCTGGCCTACCTGGGGGCCAAGCCTCGGGTGATGCAGCAAGGTAAAGACGATCACATCAGAATCAAAACAAAAACACATATCAATTTCATCTCCTCAACAAGAACACAGAAATATGTGTTTGCTCACTACCAAAATTTGCAGTTAGACATGTGCAGATGTGTTTGTTAAAGAACAGATTTTCAAGATTAATAAATCAACCACCATGTTTAATCAACATAGCAAGTGTATTTGTCCCCACAGTGTTCTGAGTTTCACCTCAGGGTTTGTTTGTTTTTCATGAAAGCTGTCTGGATTTCTTTTTCAACATTATTTCCTCTGTTTTGCAGGCTTTACCTTTGGTGTTCCCCAAATTCACCCTGCGTTCATCCAAAGGCCTTATGGGTAAGTACTGAGAAGCCTACGTGTATTTTAGAGGAATGTTGGGATGTACACATTGCATTGAATCATTTAAACATGTTTTAATTATTTTCTCAGTTTAATGTGTGATAATTGATACTATCAGTATGATTTTATTTTGTTTATCCTTTTACCTTTTTTTCTCCCCAAACAATAATAAGAGGTGGACAATAAGTTGAATGTCATTTTTTACATTTGTCACCAAACAAACAGCCAGTCAAACTGCCTTTTCTAGGTTTGCCTGTTTGTAAAAGTGAGGGTGTGTGTGTATCTGTGCGTGCTTGTGTGCGTGCGAGCGCAAGCTTGTGTTTGTCCGTGTGTGTGTGTCCGTGTGTGTGTGCGTGCTGAGTGGACAATGATGGAAACTTTCAGCCTGACTCAATGTTATCTATCTTTCTCTGGTCCGACAGGCTCGCTCTCGGTTAAGCTAAGCGTGCTGGTTTGTGACATAATCACAGATCAGAGAGGGGAAATACCTGTAGACTCAAACACACAAACAAGCTCTCAACATGGTGATTATAGATGCATGTATGTGGGTTTTGACCTGTTTTTTATTTTATTTGAATAGAACTTAGAGCTTTGTGTGCGGTTATGACGTGGTGTTGTTAGCTAAATCGTGTGCTTTCTCACTTTAATGACCAAAAAAAGCTTTGGGGTGTCTTTTTACTTTTTTGTGGACGCGTGTTAACTTTGCCAAGGAAGAGCAAAGTTTTTGTTGTTTTTATTTATTTACTTTTGCTTTAGCTTGTGGTTGACCTGTTTTGTTTAACAGGATGTGCTGTTTCATGTGTTTTCTGGCTGTCTTGTTGGAGTGAGTGGTGAAGTTTCTGTGTGTTTTCTTGTTCTTTTTTCCACCCAAATCATCTCCTTACTTCCATTTCTCACACGATTTCCCCAAAATAACAAAACCCATCACTGCTTGTGTGTGCTAATAGCATCCCACTGGTGTTACTCACAGTTTCTCACACTAACAGAGCGTAGCAGCAACAAATTATTGTGTTTGTGTCTTTGTCCTCTCAGTCCCAAAGTCTCCAGTGTGACACAAACAAATGTCTCTCTCTC